CTGCTGACCTTTACTAAAGCTGGTGATTTTTTAATGCTAGCTATAAGCCCATCCCCTCCCTTCCACCCACAGCTTTGGGCTCCTGCTATTTTCTCCTGGTGCCCATCTGAGCCCGGAGCAAGCTGAATTACCTGGCGATAGGTAACCCTACAGCAAAGCCTAGAACCCACTGATTCCAGACGAGGTTTTTGTCTTCAAATTATTAAAAGAAAAGACTATTGAGAACCCTCCAAATCAATGTTTTGTTGAAAAAGTTCCCTAGACTAATCCAAGAAAGGATCGTAGTGTAATCTTGCTTTGAGGCTGAAAGGAGAAAGTATTAATTCCATCCAGAAAAGATTGTATCTGGGACTTGCATGGGAATAGAAAATAAATAGGTATTAAATTACATTCGGTTGTCTCAAAATAATCTAATAAAGCATCTGCTGGATCAATAGCTGAATCATTATCCCAGGCACATAGCAAGCTTTCCCTCTTTTAATTAGAGATGCAAGAAAGAGGGTTTTACATTACCATAATAAAAAGAATAATACTTTAAGTCTTCATAGGAAAAAGGCAGAAGTAGAGGAAAAAAAAAAAAAGAGAGCTACAGTTTATGCCTTAAGCAAGTGTCATTTTTCATTTGAAACATGTAATTTAAGGATATTGTGAAATAAAGTTTTTATATTTAATGACTGTCAATCTGTCAGCTTTGCTGAGCTGTTTGACAAAAAAAAAAAACACCACAGAGTCCGTGAAAGACTTTGTGTGCAGGAAGGGGAAGGGGAAAACAAGGCTTTCAACAATTTTTTTTCTCCTAATTAAGGCTCACTGGAGGAAAAAAAAAAAAAAAAAATGGAACAGTTATTCACTGAAAATGCAGTTTCATCAAAAGAAAACGAGATCTGCCGGTGCTGGCTGCTGCTCACTGCTGCAGGATGCACGGCACAAACAAGGCTTCTGTGGGGAGAAACTGCAGCCGTACGCGGACCCCTGCAAATAAAGCAGGAATAACAGGTGATGTGTTATTTGCCTCACTGCGAAGAAGTGTGTCAAATCATGTAATAAATATATAGAGAAAATATGGTCCTGGGAGTCAGAACAGGAAAAAAGCAGAGTAATGGGTGTATGTCTTGGTATTTGGAGCAGTGGGACTTGAAATAGTGAAGAGTGATCTAAGAAATGGGGTTGGGAACAGGGCAGAGGATGAGGTTGTCCCCGTGGACAGGAGGGATCGGTGGTTGCTGTCAGTCTCAGAAAGCACTTTAAATGCAGATTTTTTTTTTCCCCGGAATCAGGTTCCCTGTAATATATTCATTAATGCAGCACGGTGGAATAGGCAGTACAGTTAGATGTCCAGGGCACCAAGCTGGAAAGAGATACAAACAGTACAGAGAACGGAATTACAATTCAAAATTATCTTGATAAATGGGAGAAATGATCTGAAACCAATAGCATGAGCCTCCCTGAAGAGAAGTGTAACACTGAGCTGAGAAAGGTGAAATCAAATACCCAAACGCCGGCAATCCATCACCTGCTGTACGGCACCGCGGGAGCTGTGGAAATGAGGGGGACCTCCCCCAGACTCAGCCAAGGGTTTGAGTGGAGCACTGAAGGGCCCGGGGAGGTTTGGCAAACGCGGCT